AAATAGCAGTACCTTTTCCCAACCCTCGTATGTCACCTGAAGTATCCTTTGGTACCTCTCTCGAGGCCTCACCTCCTCCACTAGCCTTTCTAGATGGTCTCGTACAGCTTGCGCGTCTAAGAGAAGGTCTTCCCCCAACTTCAAATTTTGGACTACCTCTAGGAGACCCTCCTTCAAAACGAATATCTTGGCTTCCCCAATCACTAACCTCTCCTCGCTACTTACCGACGGCCGAACGAATGCCTCCCCTCGGGGGATTTTGGACACTTCCCTTCGAATGGTTCTCGTCGGACCCTCCAAGCTTGCCTTTTACCATGTGATGTGGACAACCACCCCCACCTCTTCTATAGGCTTTATCGAGGCCGAAAGAGTCTCGATAATTTCCCTTATCATCACCTCGTCCGAGCCTCGTACCCCGTCCGGTTACTCACTTGCTCTTCCCCAAAGAGGCGGGCATATGAGACGTCAGCAACGTGAACTCTCACAACAGAAAAAAAGTGGTGTAATTGAAAACGAGTTTATCACAAACATTTGCGTATACAACATATTATAAACAGTTTATAAACTGTTTAAGGGAGGGGTTCACATATATATACATGAAGCCAATCAATCTGGTTTGGACAGACATTGATTATGTTATCGGTGTTGGTATAGTTATTTTAAACTGTATACAAACAGTTTAACAACAGTTGATTTTGTGTTGAAATTTTCGCTCATGTGTTGAAAATCTGTTCATAAAGAGTTGATATCATGTTGGAATAATATGGTTGTGAATTATATTAAAAATTGAACATATTTAGGTTAAAAAAAATATTCAGAATTACATTATAGCATTGTTTGCATAGTATCCTTACGTAATTAAGATGTGTTGTTGTTGTTGACGACATTGAAAACCAACTTTCTTATATTTATGAATCTAATAGATTTACATGAGTTTTTTTTCTTTTTTTTTTCTTTTTTTTTTTCCCCCTTTCTCTCCCAATAGAAGGATGTAATGAAGTTTGTTTCTCATAGCACAAAACCACACACATTCTCTATAATACCTACCATGGTCATTGCAAAACTTTCTATTTAGCTGCAGTTGAATAAGTGTAGCATCAAATCGATATGCGTTTGTCTCGCAGCATAATTGTGCAACTGCAGAGTTGATGGATAAACAACAAAGGTAGATAATATTTTCTAAATTAAGTAAGAATTCACTTTTTGTAATCAGGTAAGTGAAATTTTATTTTTTTTATATCTTTGTTTCTTAGAAACACTTACGGAAGCTTTGAGAGCATATTATTTTTTTAATTGTGAAGTGTGAATAACTTTGTCATTTCAAGCGACACTTCTTGTAATTGGTTGGTGCCTACATTTATGTGTTACAATGACTATGGTAAGTCATAAAATAGTATGCACCTACCGACCATATACGCAAATACTGGTAGATACGTGATAGTAAAAGATTCAGGATGATTATAAAATAAAAGTGTAATATCCTTTATGAGAAGTGTTTAATGGTGACAACACAGTATATTATTTTTGCAATTGTAAAGTTTGAATAACTCTTTGGTTTCAGTCGACACTTCTTGTGGTCGGTTGATGCCTACATTCACGTGTTGCAACAAATATGCTAAGCCATAAAATAATATGCACCTACCGACCTAATACAAAAACATTGTTAGATACGTGATAGAAGACTTACGATGATTATAATATAAGAGCGTAATATTTTTTTTGAGAAGTTCTTCATACCGACGACGTTTATATATATATATATACCAACATAGCTACACGGCAATGCCACTGGCATGACAACCGGTTCACCATAGGTTGACCCATCCCAGTCCTCTCGTACTAGGGATGACTTCTCTCAGTTTTCTTCAAATCATCAACGGTACAGAGGAAAGGAGAGCGAGATGGATTCGCCGCAGCCAAGAAAAACACACATCATCACACACGTGATACAGAGCAGTCTTTGGCCAAAACCCAAGAGGCCTAATCACGATAAAAAGAAAGAATTAAGAACAACGTCGTCAACTTCCACCATAGTCGTCAGATAGGTCTAGACGCTCACCACCCCACACGCCTCACTGTTGCCGACGCTCTGACACTCCCCAACGCGTTTCTGCCGGCGCCAGAACCGGCTTCGTCAGGGGGGTTTAGGCACCTCCTTGGTAAGTCGGCGACGGTCAAAAATACGATTGTCGTCACCTTTATTCTAGTCTATTCCTAACTCTTCTGTCGGGCTACCCTATCCCCACCCTATGTCCCGGTACTTTTCCCATTCCGGAGCCTTCCTGTTCACAAATTTATTCAACACTTCGATGAAGAAAGAGCTCGGGTATTTGAGCAGCCTAAGTTCCTGCTGAAGCGTTAGCAGGGGAAGCTCTGCCAGGTCCACAGTGGAGGTGCAGGCTCGAATCCTGGCGAGCGCACTGTTCACTACCACCTTTTTCTGTTTCAGATCCGAGAAAGACCCAAACCCTTGCATGGACCGGTACGAAAAGTCCTCTGACCAAATATTTTCCTCATTTTTCCCCCTGTACCCGATCTCAATGTGGTTCGGGTTCTGGCATACCTTCAGTTCACATCCCAAAAAAAACCAGGTTCCTTCCCCTCTATCCGTCCTAATAAGCTCCAGGTTACTATCGTAAATCCTTTCCGACTTCTCTACTACCGCATCCGCCCTTCGGGCCTCATTATTGGTATCCCCTTCCCAAATGAAAATTGACAGGTCATCGACCAGCCGAATACCTTGGACAAGGTTCCGATCTTCCCCCAATGACTCAAGGAAACAAACTTCATTAAAAATGCACAGTAGGCAGGTCAACGGAGGGCTATAGGCACCCCCCTAACCTGCCGTAATATCCGACCTGCAGCTATCAGGAAAGTATGCTGCGGTTCATATTTGACGAAACGAACAACCTGTTCAGTACTTACAAACAACCAGTCCTTACCTCTTTGATTAGCAAAAGAAACCCCTTTCCCTCTTCTTTTCACGAAAACCCCCTTCCTCCCCTTTCTCTTCATAGCCCTTTCCAGCCAAGTGACCGACTGAAGAATAGAGGCATGTGGGAGTTCATTAAACATCTCCTTTATGTAAAACGCCAAACCCCTCATGCATCCATTCCTCCCCGTGGCCTTTGCCCACTTCGATATTTTTTCCACCCTCCCTTTCAGATCCCCAACTGATCTCAGATTGAAGTAGCTTGATGGTGCAAGAAGCAGCAACATCGCGTTTAATGCCATAGCTACCCTACTACTTGCCTGCTTCGAGGGTTCTGAGTAAGACGGTGTAATCGGACGGAATTTCTGAAAATCCTTATTTTTTGGCACAACGTAGGCATTGCCCAACGTCCCTTTCCCGTCCCATTTCCCCAAGTTCTCAAACCCTTGCTTGTCATACTCCTTCTTACACAGTTCCAAAGTTTCACGTTCTTCCTCCATCACTGCTTTGAAACTCGTTTTCCCCAAAAAAGATCTCTTATCCCTTCACCATATCTTTTCGGACACATAATCAGCGTTTCTGCAGGGTTCTTATCCAGAGGTACCCGCACATAGTTGACCAATATCTTCTTCCAAAGCTCAACACAGTCGCAGACCGATTGGTCCTCCGCTCCCCTTGGCGGATCGATCAACACGCCCTCAACCTCCTTGGGCGTAACCCATCGAGTCAGCCCATACAACAGAAAGCAAGCATTTATGTCTCTAGTAACCCCCTAAACTAATCCCAGTCCTTCTCTTTTAAATAGGTTCTTGGCGTTAATTAAAGTAGCCGGGACTCCGGCCGCGGAACTGAGTTTGCAGGTCACATATCCTTCCATCTTAGGAAGGTCCAAGTCCGCACAAGGGCAGACACCTACCACATTCTGCGCAACAGATTTGTGGTTCTGCAACGCCTGACCGACAGTACGATTCCGTTTCCATACCGTCCTCAGGCGCCTGCAAATGATCCTGCTCACACATTCCGGATATTGTTCTCTAATCATGTCCTTCACGAGGTCCCGTACTTTCCTCTTAGACACGTTATTATTAAAAGTAACTCTCACTACGACTCTTCTCCTAATCCTTACCCCGTACTTCTTCCGGATGACCCCATCCAAGATTCCCTTGATTTTACTCCTTGTCGACTTTTTTGAAAAGGTCCGTGCAGTCTGAAACAAACGGACCAGGTCCTCCAAGTTACATTTGAACAAATTCTTGACAGACCAGGGGACCGACAGTAGCCTAATCAGGAGTCTTTTATCGCTAGTCGATCCGGGTTTCCCGTGCACGATGCGAATCACCCCAAACTTCCCACCCTCTTGAAAATCCTTCTTACAGTCTTTAAGAAAACGCACTTTTCCTTTCAAGCGTAGCACTGAATCGCCGAACTTCCTCTTAATCACAGACCATTTTGTGACCCATATGCTACCTTTATACGAAGAAAAAGTTTTCGGTCGTTCCTTAACAGGTAATCCAGGTCACAAAACTCCCTTCCCCAGGCATTAAACTTGACAATCCCTGCTGGCCGTTTGCACTTCTGCCTACCCCTTTTCCTCTTCCCTTTCCTCCCGCCTTGCCTTCCAGCCCTGCATTTCCCAACACTGTTAAGGATATGTGTCCACCGCTTAATGCACATTCCTTCCACTCTCAACAGTTCCTCTTTCTCAGCGAGCACTAAAGGTAGCGCAACGTATGTTTTCCAACCAAACTTACGAAGCCATCTATAAAGTTTATTACTACTGCCTTCCTGTTCCGAATTCCCCACATGTTCCTTCCATCGAGCCTGTAACTCTCTTTCGGTTTTCCCGATAGGGAACTTCCGGCAGAAGGGACTAATAAGCACATAAACGCAAGATCGAACATTAAGCCATCCATATGGGTCACGGTCGAATGCTTTGACAAGAAGATTCTGAAACTTATGAGCATGCGGGATACATCCATTCAGGATTAAAAACAGCAAAAGTAGTCGAGCTAGCTTATCCAAGATACCTGCCACCCCCTGAAACTTCCTATTCCCTCCTAGATTATTCCTAATCCGGCTGATTTCATTCAAGAACACCCAAGCATCTTCTCTACTCAACCCCCCCTGCCCGTTCCTTATGGTCGGCCACAATCGCGACCCTAATCTCGGGCTCGGAGACACGTGGCACCCTTCCCCCTGGCACAGATGCAACCTCGAAAACGCTCTGCATCACACGAAGCTCCGCAAGTTCCTCCACCGCCTCATCCTTCCTTGCTCTCCATTCGATCCCTTCCTTCCTATACATCATTTTTAACTCTGGACACACCTTATTTCCCAAGTATCTGACGATAGCCACTTTGTAACTGATCTTACTATTGAAGTCAACTGAGCAAAAGGCACCTGCCCAAGGATCCAAGATCAGTGACTGCGTCTCCTTTCTCTTCGGTCTGCCCCTCGTTTTCCTCTCTGGTTCTACAGGAGATACAACCGCAAACACAGGCTGTCTAGACGTACCACCTCTGGCCGACTTAGGAGGTGTCTCCACCGGAGGGCTAGACTCAGTGCCACCTTGTTGGGTCGGGGCTCGTTTCCTTCTTCGGTTCATATGATCCTCCTCCTCCGCCTCGTGATCCTCCTCCTCGTCTTCTGGCCATTCCTCCCATTCGTCATCATCCCCGGTAAGCTTCTTCCCTCCGCTTTTAACCATATCCGTGATCTCCTCGTTGACCGCCTTCTTAACTTCTTTGCGTAGAAATACTCGTTGTTCCCCGAACATCTTCCGGATGTCCCACAATCTATCAACCTCCTTCTTTGCTTTGTCCTGCTTCTTCTCTTGTTCGATGCGCTTCGCATCCTCCTTCTCAATTTTCTCCAACTCAAGTTGTTTCCGCCGCGCCCCTTCCTCTTTCCTCCGATCTTCCTCCTCCTTTTTAGCTGCTTCAACTTTGTTCTTCTCGTCTAGCGATAACTTAAAAAACGTTGTCATGGCTCCGAAGGATTCTTCCAGCTCTTTACTAAGAGCAACGGTAGGTGTCGCAGCCTGTACCGCCGGTGCGGTAGCCCTTACACCGTTCGAGGGACGGCCTCCGAGAGCATTTCCCATTCCGAACCCTCCTCCTCCTCCTCCTTCTCCCCCTCCTCCTTGGTAGAACCCTCCTCCTTGCCTACGCATCGGGCATTCACGTGCGTAGTGCCCGGACTGGCCACAGTTGAAGCATCTCACTGTTTGCCTTTGGCCATTCCCCCATCCTCCCTCGTTCCAGCCGCCGTTCCCTCCTTGCCCCAAGTTCCACCCTCAGTTGTTCCATCCCCCATTATTGCCCCCCAGGGGTCCCGAGGACCAGCCTCCTCCCCCGCCATTCCCACCTCCTCCCTGGTATCCGCCGTAGTTCCCCCATCCTGGTGGTGGACCCCAGTTCCCTCCGTTACCTCCACCTCCCCCTCCTCCATTCCACCCTGGTGCTCCTCCATTCCACCCTGGTGCTCCTCCATTCCACTGTCCGCCTTGTCCTTGATTCCCGTTGTTGCTTCCAGTGTTATTCTGATCCATAACTAGTAGCAATTTGCGCTGACTTGCAATCGCCTTCTTCTGGCCCTTGCTAACTCTTGCTCCTCAAGACCCATAGGTCCTTCGTAGCGGATCGTTGCAGCGCCTCCTTCCAGCGCACTACCACGATCGTCTGTTATCTTCAACTGTCATCAACTATCGTCAACTATTGTCGGCTAATCTTCACTGCCACCACTTTCAAGTAGCTCCCTCGACAGGTTGCAGTGTCCTTATCCAGAGGAAAGGAGAGCGAGATGTTGCCCACGTGATACAGAACACTCTTTGGCCAAAGCCCAAGAGGGACGAATCGCGATAAAAAGAAAGAATTAAGAACAACGTCGTCAACTTCCACCATAGCCGTCAGAAAGGTCTAGATGCTCACCACCCCACACGCCTCAATGTTGCCGACGCTCTGGCACTCCCCAACACGTTTCTGTCGGCGCCAGGACCGGCTTCGTCAGGGGGGTTTAGGCACCTCCTTGGTAAGTCGGCGACAGTCAATCGTTAAATACGATTGCTGTCACCTTTATTCTAGTCTATTCCTAACTCTTCTATTGGGCTACCCTATCCCCACCCTATGTCCCGGTACTTTTCCCATTCCAGAGCCTTCATGTCCACAACACTTCGATGAAAAAAAAGCTCGGGTATTCGAGAAGCCTAAGTTCCCTCTGAAGCGTTAGCAGGGGAAGCTCTGCCAGGTCCACAGTCGAGGTGCAGGCTCGAATCCTGGCGAGCGCACTGTTCACTACCGCCTTTTTCTGTTTCAGATCCGAGAAAGACCCAAACCCTTGCATGGACCGGTACGAAAAGTCCTCTAACCAAATATTTTCCTTATTTTCCCCCCTGTACCTGATCTTAATGTGGTTCGGGTTCCTGCATACCTTCAGTTCACATCCTAGAAAAACCCAGGTACCTTCCCCTTTATCCGTCCTAATAAGCTCCAGGTTACTATCGTAAATGCTTTCCAGCTTCTCTATTACCGCATCCGCCCTTCAGGCCCCATTCTTGGTATCCCCTTCCCAAATGAAAATCGACAGGTCATCGACCAACCGAATACCTTGGACAAGGTTTCGATCTTTCCTCAACGACTCAAGGAAACAAACTTCATTAAAAATGCACAGTAGGCAGGCCAACGGAGGGCTAGTAGATTTCCCCATAGGCACCCCGCTAACCTGCCTTAATATCCGACCTGCAGCGATCAGGAAAGTATGTTGCAATTCATATTTAACGAAACGAACAACCTGTTTAGTACTTACAAACAACCAGTCCTCACCTCTTTGATTAGCAAAAAAAACCCCTTTCCCTCTTCTTTTCACGAAAACCCCCTTCCTCCCCTTTCTCTTCATAACCCTTTCCAGCCAAGCGCCCGACTGAAGAATAGGGGCATGTGGGAGTTCATTAAACATCTCCTTTATGTGAAACGCGAAACCCCTCATGCATTCATTCCTCCCCTTGGCCTGTGCCCACTTCGATATTTTTTCCACCCTCCCTTTCCGATCCCCAACTGATCTCAGATTGAAGTGGCTTGATCCCCAACTGATCCCCAACTGATCTCACTTATATATATATAAGTCGGTGAAACTGCGACGAAACAATTTATCACTACCCCCAACGGTTTACCGTGCAGTTCTATTCTATGATATATATCTATATATATATATATATATTACAATGTATAAATTATGAACGTTTTGCAAAAGAAAAATAAAATAAAATTGTGGAACTACAACTTCTGCTATAAAGTGATACTTTGCGACACTTCTTATGTTCGTTTGATGCCTACATTTATGCACTACAATGGATACATTATGCCATAAAAGAGTATGCACATACTCACCTTATGTGCAAACATTGTTGTACACGTAATAGAAGACAAGAAAATATTATAAAATAAGAACGTGATATTCTTTATGAAAAATGTTTAACATTGGCGATGTTCATTTACGTTTATTGATATATATATATACATCTTTCAATATTTTAATCCTCGAAGTTTTAAAAACTAATCATAAGTAATAATAATAAAATTTTATCGATCATTACCACAAAATTGTTGCTAACAACAAAGCTTGAAGACGTTTCTTAACTCATCGGTATATGCGTAAACGTCAAGGTACAACAAATTGTTTTTGCCAGAGAACTTCTGTTAACAAAAAATCTAACTCATAAACTTTCCTTTCAAATCAATGCATTTCAGTCTAAATCTGAGTATTTCAATCTCATTATCATCGTTTTTTTGTGAATCAGATTGAAATTATCAGTTGAATTGAAAGTCTGGGATAAATTTTGAAACATTTCAAATAGACTGAAAATTGTAAATAGAGTAAAAAAATTCAAATTTAGACAAAAACTTGAGCTGAGATTCCACCAAAAGTATTAACTTTGGATTAAAGTTGCAAAACAATAATTGAATTTGGACTGAAATGTTACTGAAAATACTCAATTTAAACAAAAGTCATAATAAAGTTTTAGATGTAGACGGAAATTTGATAGAAAATTACAAATATGGACGGAATGTAAACCAAGATTGTAACTAAAATTTCGCCCAACTTACTTGAAGTGAACTAAAATTAGATTGTAATTTTTAAATATGGACGAAAAGTTAGACTCAAATTCCACCAAAATTTTCAGAGAATCGTGGACCATACAAACAACTCATAACTTCACATATGCTGATCAATGATAAACATTTTGTGTATTTATTAATCGCAAAGTCAAAAAAATGTTTGATGAAATAATAATTAATAAACAGAATAACATATCTATATATATACATATAACTTGATGAAAACAAACTAAAAAAAATACAAGATCCTACAACATTATATAATAATTCAACTTGCAAACTGCACCTCGGGACAACACTCGTGGATTTATATATATAATTGTGTTTGTACATGTATGCATATATGTGTATGCGTATGTGAGAGAGAGAGAAAGATGTAGAAAGAGAGAGGATAGGGAGACCAAGGGGAAGAAAAAAAAAAAATGGTGATGAGAAAGAGAGAGAGAGAGAGAGGAAAAGTAAAAATAAAAAAAATAAGTTTACATTTGCAATTTCAAATATGAACGAAAAGTTGGACTCAAATTCCACTAAAATTTTCAGAGAATCGTGGACCATATTAACAACTCATAACTTCACATATGTTGATCAATGATCAACATTTTGCGTATTTACTAATCGCAAAGTCAAAAAAATGTTTGATGAAAAAAATAATTAATAAACAGAATAACATATATATATATATACATATAACTTGATGAAAACAAACTAAAAGAAATACAAGATCCTACAACATTATATAATAATTCAACTTGCAAACTGCACCTCAGGACAACACTCGTAAACTTGTATATATAATTGTGTTTGTACATGTATGCATATATGTGTACGTGTATGTGAGAGAGAGAGAGAAAGATATAGAAAGGGAGAGGATAGGGAGACCAAGGGAAAAAAAATAAAAAAAATAGTGATGAGAAAGAGAGAGAGAGAGAGAGAGAGAGAGAGAGAGGAAAAAAAAAAAAAAAAAAAAAGTTTACATTTGCAACTCGTAAGTAACAACTTCAATAGGCTCCTTAGCTATAACAAAATTTTATGATTCATACAAGACACACCAATTTAACTACACAAAGTCTTCGCCTCTAAATTTTGGTGAATCAATTATACAAGAACGCATTAACCTTGCAAAAGGTAGACACGCGCACGCAATACATCTATAAAGAAAAATAGTTTTTGTTGCTCCACAACTACAATAACTAACAATTCAACTCAAATACTTGAAATGTGTGTGAACGAGAATGCACGCATAAGTCAGAGATCCTAAGAAGGTGCAAAAAAAAACAAGGAGGGAGAGAGAAACTAGGAAGAAACTGAAAAATTAACAGAAAAATCATTTTCTTTCCTGCTTTTGCCTTAACTGCAATAATATTTGCAACGTCCTTCCACTATTATCTATGGTGAGGGAGCATTATTCCATCAACTATGCTAGGGGATTTTTCCCATTCAGCTGACATTCACAATTTTTGCCCGCCAGATGTCAACTGCCTTAGGGCTTGAATTTGCATAACTGCTGCCACAACAAAAAACAACAAAAGGAAACTGCATAATCAACATCAATCCACCTATGCCAACGGGAAAATAAACATTTTCAGATAGTGTGATGATAATTATAGAATGAATGACCATACGCAAGGAAACAAAGAGCAGTATGAGGTGTGAAGTTCTTGTTTTTGCATAGATGCCACAAATAGGGGTTCCTACAGTCGCTCACAGTGGAGAGAGAAACTGTCACACCCCAATATTATCTATCCCTGTTCACATGCACATTAAGATACATTTTTACGACCAAAACAAAAATTTCAATCTCATGATTCCTTCCCGCTAAATGTATGCAAGACCGATACCATTTGAAAAACTTTATTGTGGAATATGTATAACAATAAGCTGGTATGCGGTGCTTATAGCAGCAAGCAGGTGTCCACCATAACTACATCCTCAACACACACCAACTCCTATTCCTTGTCTTCCTCTGCTACCTTCCTCCTCTCTCTCGGCTACCTCCTCCTACCCCCCCTCATCCTCTGACATCTATGCAACTCGGCAATAAAAAAAGAAAACATGCCTTGCACATAAAAAAAACACAAGTCCACCTCCCGATTTTAAATCACAGTCTTTTCTCTAGTAAGCATGCAACACGTATATGGAGTGACTGTGTGCCTAAGTAAAAAAAAAAAAAAAACAGGGCCAGAATTTGCCACAACTCGGTCTTTGGCTCAAGCAGGCCGTACTATGTGGGTTGAACGCTATCGTGTGGCGTGAGTGATAGTATGTGGGCTAGGCAGTATCATGTGTAACGGGCAGCACCATGCGGAGCAAGTCATACTATATGTATTATAGGGACCGGATAGTAGTGACACATACACACACACACATATAGTATCCTAAAAAAAGAAATGCACACTTGGGCACAACATGTCCCTTGGCCTTATGGACTTGTCGATATTAAATGGCTTGCATGGTACTGTGGGTTGGATGGTATCATGCGGACTAGGTGGCCA